AAAACGCAAAAAACCGCATCTAAAATAGTATAAATAGAAGCAGAGTTCTTTACGGTAAGCCTTAATCCTAACCATCTCCTTTCAGTGGGGTTGAATTTCGACACGTATATTATATAAAAACACGTTCGTATTCGAATGCAGCGTTGTGTCAAAATTTCAAAGGAATCGGTAGGAACAAACGAACGTTACATTTTTATTTATATAAATAGATAGATGATGATCCGCTTTAGTTCATTTTCACAGAAAAGCGTAATGCCTCACAGAAAAGCAAACTTAGGGCGTCGTACTCGTAGCGCCATCTGTTGGACATAAAAGCCTTAACCTAGATTATATCTTTTAATTTATATGAATGTTTAATGGAATAATGTACAGCCTATGTCCACCCTGAGGTTCCATTCTAAATATTGGTGAAAAAATTTTTGAAATCGGATGAGTAGTTTTGGAGATTATTTGCTGCATACAAACTAACATACATACAAACATCACCTCTTTATAATATTAGTATAGATTAAGATTTTTTTTAAAAATGACCAATTTGCTCTATACGAATTGTAGTACAAATTTGGTTCTTTCACGTCTGACTGGTACTAGCGTAAACGTTTTAGAGATGAAAACTTCGGCTGCAACCTCTCTTACACGAGTCTCTGTATAACTCATATAGATTAATGCAGGGCCGGCCATCAAGGGGGTGCGGCGGATGCTGTGCACCGGGGCCCGCGATTGAGGGGGCCCTAACATTGTCAAGAATGCACAAGAAAACTCGACAATATTCCTATCGTTGTCAGTATGACGAAAAGTACATTTTATCGTAAACATTATTATTGTAATCTCTGAATTTCGACAATCTTCAAACTAATTCTCGGTGATGCGAATGTTTAGTTTTTGTTATTTGATTCGGGAAACTCCCGAGAATCCCCACCTAAATTCGACTTTNAGTACACGTGCGATAAATAGTTTCTGTATCAACCTACCTTATTTCCACGATATTTTTAGAAAAATAATATTCAAAAAACAATAAACGCATTAATGCAAAAATCAGTTTTACTTCCTTTTTCGATTCGGCGATTGTAATGAAATCGTATAATGAGAAAAATTAATAAAATCGTTTTATTATTAAATAATAATTTTTCTTATTGTACTTAATTAAGAAAATATTAAATATTAAAAAATACAGTATTTTTAAAGTTAAAATAAGATTAAAGTTTCATAACCTAATTTAATTCGTTCTAATTAATTTTGAGCATTTATGCAATGATACTGACCGACACTTAAACATTCATACGTGTATTGAATGTGGATGCGTGGCCAAATTTGGGCATTGCCCACAAAAACAGTGCAAATAACTCTCTTGGTATGAATAGCGGCAACTTGTATTTACGATATTGTACATATGTAGATGAGGAAGAATTCATTTTGTCCCTTTTCTATGATGATAAATGGAAACACGTGTTACCATTTTCGGCAAGTTACATTAGTTAGCAAATTCTGTATTATATTATCGTATTATACGGCGCACCCCATTTTAGCTCAGAATACTTAAGAAGTATTTAGTGCATTCCATCCTTTGGCGCACTCCTCCATTTTTACTGATTCGCGTGCTTGGTATGTATAGTAAAACGTGATAGATAGTGTAAACTTCCACCCTTGGTCACTAAGATGGCCTTTTATTCATACCCATCACAAGTACTGTCGGGCCCACGAAAGGAACTTAGAATTTCAGGATTGATGGTGTAAGGCATCGCAACACGCGGGCGATTTGCTAAGAAAAAGATGGCTCCGAAAACTTGGCTTATACACACGAAGAAAGCCCGGAAAACTTTACTCAGATTGGCCAGGTGCAAACCCGTTGGTTTTATCCACTGGTGGGTCCTACGGAAACTTAGATTAAAGAATCTCGGCCGAATCCATGGCGGTCATTATAGTTAATAGGTGATTTGAGGGTTCAAATGATATATGCCCTGCAAAATCTTATAGTTTAGATAAGGCACGCGAGCCCCGAGGAAAGCACTGCGCATGACAGGCCGTCCACGCGGCCCCACCTCTGTCGGAGAGATGCAGCGCGCCCTACCACGCGAGTCGGTTGCGGGTCACGTGACCGCGGCACCACCCCCGACGTTTTATAAGCCCGTAGGCTGCCTTTGGGCATTTTCCTCCGGTATTTGTTACCGAAATAATTAGGATTACAACTCGGTAAATATACAATATATGTGATATTCGAGGCAACGGAAGCGAACGCAAGAAGTAATGGTAAGTACTGTACAGTACGTATTGACAATTTTCAAAATCGGAAACTACGTAATTTACTTTACGTAATTTACTTCCCAATAGTAAAGTGTTCGATAACATACACAGTAGTGTGGAGAAAGGGGACGAATTGGACAATTGTCACAAACCAATAACGAATGAAAAATTAAAAGGGAGCTCCCGCAAGTTGTATCATATCATTCTGGAATTTTAGCATATGACGCAACGAGTTTATGCCTCGAACCAAACCTATCTGTACACGTAATGAACAAAATGATTGCTCGTTACACGCTTGTGATTAACTCGAGGCAGAAAATAAGTGAAAACAACATATCTGCAATTGGAAAATGGTCCGTTTCTTTGCAATCCGACGTTGTTAAGGTGCACTACTCGCTGGGTGGCGAGTTTCCAAGCATCGTCTAAAACATTCTGCTCAGTCATTGAGTGATTCTATTAGGTGAGAGGTGCAAAACTTGCTCCAAATTCTTGTGATAAAATTCGGACTGTGCCTAGCGGTATCGGGCATAATAAAGTTTATTTTGTCTGTCTGTCTGTCTGTGATAGTATTCGGAGAAGTTTAGGGAAAGGATCGAGCAATACCGAATGAGATTGAAAGAAGCTCCAACAACTTTCATCAATTGTCCAATTCGTTTACTCATGTGTATATATATATATACACATGAGTAAACGAATTGGACAATATATAGTTATATAGTATGACTTGTATGCGAAACCTGGATTATATGCGATTGTTCGGACAGCATCGGGCGACTCGACCTCCGAGACATAGCCGAAGTGGCGGCGATGGTGACCGGTGGCCTCACCCCGTCCTCGCCTACACAAGATCGGAAACGGACTAGGCGTCATCAGGTAGCGAGAGGAGGAGACACTGTCGAAGGTGAGTGTAGAATATGTTTTCTTGGCCTTTTCTATCGTCAGTTAAAATGTGTTAGAGATAGCGAAATGGAAGCGCGCTCGGTTTAGATGGGAGCGGCGGAGTTGGAGAAAACGTTGCCTAATTAGCCGCGTTAACCGGTCTTTTCTTTAGTCTTTGCCGATAAGTGTCGTTAGAATATGTGGCCGGCTTGCTGCCTGCTAAACACGCGATAGGCTTAGCAGAGAGAGAGAGAGAGGGGCGACTTCCGATGGCGGTCCCCGGAAGTAGCGGTCGAAAGGTGGCGA